AAATCATTCTAATATGCTGATTTATTATTAGAATTATCAACAGTTGTGCAGCCAGCAACAATAAAGTTACGCCTTCTTTCTTTGCGTGAACGTTTGGGCGGCGTTATGCAAATCTTCTCACATCGTGACGTAGACATGTGGGGTGTGTTAGAACGAGCCGTTTTAGGTAGGCGTGGCTGACTCTTAACTTTTATAAAGAATATCTCTTTGGATTTGAGACTTTAGTCTTTGCAACTTTACAGATCTTCTTTATGCACCAAGAGCTTGTAACACTCCAAAGAGAAAGGAAAAATTGAAATCGCATCATATGACCCCTTTAAAAGTTCAGATTCAGGTGGACTAAAAGAAAAATGGCTAATTGTGAATTTATATAGTGCCACTATTGCCTCGTTAATGGGTTTACAATTGGCCTCAGTGTTATGCTAATTCTACAAACATTCAAATAAGCATATTTCAATCATGACAACTCTCAGAACATTTTAGCATGGTAATGCTAGCCAGCCATATAAATGCAAGGCAGTAAGCTCATTGGCTGCATATGCAGCATGAACCAGTCAGTTTGTGCCAAGTCGTTTAACTCTCTGAATATCATCAGTTACGTTAACACCCCGTCAGAATGCGCCATCTAGAGTTTCATGACTGAACTATATATTTAAACTACTAAAACCACTTTAAATAAAGCTGAAATAAAACTTAGCTTAAAACTAAATACTAAAATGGACAGACAAATCAGAAAAAGAAAGAAAACCCCACTAGCTTGATTATAAATATACATGTAAACATATACCAGGGTATATTATCATTACCATGGTATAGTTCACATGCCAAATAAACATGTTAACTAGCCTATTGTTATCATGTTACAAAACAGTAGCATGCCAAACACCATGGTACTGTTGTGTAAGTGCATAATACACATGCAAAAATTAATCAACTAACTCTTTCTCGTAACTTTCACACACTCTGACACACACTCAAGTGGTTCAAGTTGAACAGTGAAAAAAAGTGAGTAACTCAAGCAGATGGCTGCAATCACAAGAAACCAGTAAACACCGGAAGAGTCCTCAGCTTTTACAAGCTGATTTAAGTTTATGAGACAAGAAAGAGGCAAACAATTCATGTATCTTGTGCCTAAAACCTTCCCAACTTATCACGAAACTTTACTGACTTATCACACATTTTCTCAGTTTCACTTCATAATTACGAGTCTGTCAGAGTGTGTAGGAGAGTGTGTTCATATTCTTCATTTTTTTGTGTTTGTGTGTGGTGTTTTTGGTTTTAGGAGGAGGCCGAGGAGCATCATGAAGTATTTATAGATGTAAATTAGCTCCCTGTTTCCCTCTCTCAGCCCTTTCAGCGCTGCCTCATAATTGGTTTCTTTCTGTTGAAATTCTCCTTAACAGCACATGAATGTTGTTATATCCTAATGAGACAGATTAGAATTTCAGGTGTGTGTGTGTGTGGAGGGCTGGACTGTGTGTGTCAAGGGGGTGGCTGCATTAGGGGATGCTGTACCTCAGAGCAGATGAACAGAAGTGAGCCCACAGATTGCCAGACTGATGCCTGATCAAGTAACTTTTTTTCTTTCTCTCCAGTGTTCAGTGCTGTGTGTGTCTACTCTCTTCTCCTGCTTCTTTATCAGACCTTTTCATATGTGATTCTGTGCTGTAGCTTGTTTTTTTTGTTTGTTTTTTTTAACTTTTTGACAAGTACTTTGGAAAATGAAATTTAGATCTATCTATCTGTCTGTATGTCTGTCTGTCTGTCTATCTGTCCGTCCGTACATCCATCCATCCATCCATCCATCTATCTATCTATCTATCTATCATCTGCCTGTCTGTGTACATATGTGTGTCTATCTGTCTGTCATACCAAATGCTACATCAAATTTATATATTATTAGTAACAGAATTTCACTTATATTTCTAAAGAATTGCAGTGGAGTTGGAATCAGATTTTATTTAGGCATTTATTATAAGATAAATATTCCACTGTCAGGATATCAAATACAGTTTTTATTTTATTTTAGCTGATGTTTATCATGAAGGAAAGAAGGATTTTTTTGCTCTATGCAAAACTAAAAGGTTTCTTAAGTTCATAAGGTTTAATAGCCGTATGGATGTTCTGTTGGGGAAGTTGAAACATGGGCTTTAAATTGTGCTTGGAAGATTTTCCTGTCACTGCCTCTGTGAGTAATTGGTCAGTGTAATTGCAAATGTCTGTGCTAAGATGTATATCACATATTTAATGGGTGTATTTTGCTTGTTTGCACATTTTATTGGGCTGGTTATCATGTCTTCCCATTGCTCCATACTCTGTGGGATGGATTATTGTTGTAAAGTGTAATTTAAGGTAATTGCAAAGTGTATTATTGCAAAGTTTTTCTCATTTATTTTTACTGAGATGTACAATATGTGAGTAACATTGGCTGATTTGCATTTCTGTTTTTCATTTGTGTTTATGTCAGTGTGTAAGTTATTAATCAAGTATGTACTGCATAAAAGCTATATTGCTATATATATCTCCATCTTTCTATTCTTTTCTTTTCTATCCCAGAGATTGGCTGATTTCTACACAATCCATTATGCCTGCCATTGTAAACCTGCTCTTCAACACGGTCTCCACCAACACCACCATCTCCTTTTCTCTGGTGCTGCCTCTGGTCAGCATCCTCTCCCTGCTGGTAGGGGTCGGAGGTCACCTGCTCATGTGGTTGGTGTTGATGCGTAACCCACGGCGTCGTTCAAAGCCCAGCTCTGTCCTCCTGTTAAACCTGAGTTTTGCTGATCTGTGTGCTCTACTCACCCTGCCCTGTGTGCTACTAAGCGCTAGCTCTCAGAACTGGCAGCTGGGAGGAGGTGTTTGTGTGTTGTTGAGCTTCATGACCTCCCTGACCGCTGGAGTGGACATCTTCAGCCTGGCTGCCCTTTCTGTGCTGCGTTATCGAATAGTGGCTCCCTCGACACGACCCCCGGCCACCCCTGCGCAGGTGTGAGTATCTGAAGGAGCTAAAGAAAAACAGTTGTAAAAAGGGAAAAGTTATATTTGTGAAAGAAATGGAGAAATATTTTATATATTTATATGTTTTTCTGTCAACAAAAAGTAAAGGAAGTGATGGACAAATATTTATTTGAAGTGGCTACTTCGGAATAGCTATGGTACATGTTATTGATCAAAGTAGATTTCAAGATTCACTAAATCTCACTTAAATTCTCTATATAGGCCTATTTCTTTAAATTATTCCATCACTGGAAAAAATGATAACTTTATGTTGATTCACTAACCACTCTGGGCAGCATGAATTTCCCAAAAGCATCGTAAACATATAAGTAGATCGCTTGTGCTAATGGTTTCTGCGATCTAACTAGGCTTATGATGCTTTTGGAAAACAAAGCCGTGATTGATTCAGTAAAGGATCCATCACTGATTCAAATTACGGTCTTTCTGAATGAATTGATTTAAAAGGACCGGCTCGTAAGAGTCATTTGTTTGTGATTTACGCTGTTTTTGATTCACTAAAAGTATCGACTCATACGAGTAATTTGTTCACGAATCAGAATGGTTAGGTCGCAATATGTTCAGGAAAGGCGAACAGCTCGCTCTTAAACGTGCTTTTATAGTTATTTCGCAGTATAAGAACTTTTTATTTCCTTCTCGCTTTCAATTTGAGATGCAAACTCGGGTATTTATTAGTTTATTTTGTAAATACTGACTTATTTTTGCAGCCGCCGTGTAAGAAAAGCTGAATGGCGAGCTTCCGCTTAAAAACGATCCAGGAAACGCCTGACACTGAGTAAAAATATACTTTCGCAATGCAAATCAATATGAGATGAAAATATTTATTTAAATCACAGTACTTTTTGAAGAGGATCGTTACTCTCATTTACAAAAAAGTGTATTACCATGACTGATGATATTATTATGGTAATGTATACAAACTGCCTTGGAATACCATAATCCTATGGTATATGAATACAAAAGTGCTGTGGTACTGAGATGGTACTATGGTACTTTGATATGTACCATGATAGAACTGAAATTCATGTCAAGAGAAGAGATAAGGTGGCGTCTATTATAGTTCACATCCAAAAAACTGCATGTATATTTATCGTGACTACTACCAAGGTGTAACACATTCAAAATACCACAGCAATACATTTTTGTAAATGTAACACACAATACCACTATATCAAAATATTATGGTAATGCCATTGGGGATATAAAGAGGCATAACATATATTGAATTCTCTGTATCTGTCTCTCTATGTGGCCCACAGAGCTGGCACTGTTGCTGTTATCTGGCTGGTTTCCATTGCCATGGCCCTACCTAAAGTCACGTACATCCAGTTTGACAGTGGCTGCACGTGGTCGGTGGGCCGCGGTCACTGGCTGGGCTTCCTCGTTCCTGCATTTCTGGTGTATTACGTGGCTCCTCTACTCTGCATCGCCCTGCATTGCGGGCTCATCATCACACACCTGTACCGCTGCCGGGGCACTCTAGCCGCAGACCACCGCAATAAAAAAGCCACAGCCCTTCTCATCGGCTCCACGCTGGTGTTCGCCATCAGCTGGCTGCCTTATTACGTGCTAGAGTTTGTCAATGTTTTATCGCCGTCCCTTAACTCCGTCAGCTCACCTGAAAGCCCCACCTCCAGCTCCACCGCCCCGTCGCCGGCGTCAAGTACGGAGGTGTCTCTGCTGTGGGAGGTGGCCTCGCTGTCTGCCATTCTTCTGATTTGTCTGGCACCTTGCTGGAACCCGCCACTCTACTTCCTGCTATCTAAGCCAGCCCTGAGGCAACTGAGAGGGCTGCTACCCATCATGCACCAACACTGGAGAGCTGCTACCTTCCTACAGCACATAGTGCCAAAACACGCTCCCACACAGCCCCACTCACAGCCTGGGTCTCAACACGTTCCTCAGAACATACTAGCAGCAACGCACCCACAATGAGAACACGCGCACTCAGATCGACATGGTAAGGCACAGCACATACCTGCTTCACAGCAAAGCACACCCACACGCAGGCACAAAGTACACACACACAATGACAGGTACTTTCTGCCAGAGCATCCTCATCCCTCTCATGCTGGCTGAGATTGTGAGTTGCTTAGTAACACTACAGAGAGGAACAGAAACATAAGACCATGGACCTCTGCATTTATGGCTCAGCATCACATTTTACAATGTTCCAGCATGCCAGCTGCTCTCTTCCCCTTTTTCAAAATCTCTCTCTCACACTAAAAACGTATCACGGCAGATTTTTATCACCAACTCGGTCGCACTCGCACACATTAGCGTGTTCTCGACAACATATGTGTTCATTTTTAATTCGCTTGTGCGGTGAGTAATAGATTTGTGTGGGCTGGTACAGATTAGATTTGTGTGCGCTGGTACTGTATATCAGATAGATCATCTATAAAGGCTAAATGTAGTGCGTTTGAGTCTCACTTGCTGATCATTGATGTTATGAATCATCGATATGTGCTGTAATGAGTTTTTTGACAGTCATTGTCAGCCTTATGTGAAATGCAATGCACTGTGATTTCGGAAATGGGAAAAGTATATAAATATTTCCCATTAATGACAGAGGCATGGCTGAGAGAACTCAGCAGCTCTCAGAACTGTGTCACCTGCGGATGAGTCATCCTACTTCACAAGATTTTTTTCATTCTCTGCTGATATTGTAGCCAGTGTAATAAAATGTGGATCTGAATTGATCCGGCAATTTTTCTCCTTGAATTTCCATTCCCCATGCTCCTCCCTCCTAATCAGTTCATCTCTTTTGCCTGATCTGAACTGAGAGGAGGGATAAAAGAAAAGGATACAGAGTTGAAAAAGAAAAGTTTTTCGTTTACAAAAACGTACAGGCAGAGATGAAGACAGATGCTAATACCATGGTAATCTGATAAACCAAAACCATTATATTAGCATGGTATATGTCCCAAAACCATATATTAGCTAGTGCTGTTACCTTTAACTGAAGCTAAAACAATTTTTATTGTAATAAAAAATAAATTAAAGCTAAATAGATATATTACAAAAAATATAAACTATATAAAAAAATTAAAAAGCATAGAAAATTAACAAAACTTACAAAAATATAGAAAATTTAAATAATAATAAATACTATAATAGTATATAGATACTAAAATGATACTGGTATTAGCATGATAAATGTCCAAAAACTATGGTATTAACATGGAACATGTTATATGTGTTAACATATGTTAACACACATGATATATGTGACCCTGGACCACAAAACCAGTCATAAGTAGCACGGGTATATTTGTAGCGGATATTAAGGATCGATCATGTTCCAGGAAGATATTTTGTAAATTGCCTACCATAAATAAATCCAAACTTAATTTTTGATCAGTAATATGCATTGCTAAGAACTTCATTTGGACAGCTTTAAAGGCGATTTTCTCAATACTTAGATTTTTTTTTTTTTGCACCCTCAGATTCCAGATTTTCAAATAGTTGTATCTCGGCCAAATATTGTCCTTTCATAACAAACCATACATCAATGGAAAACGTATTTATTCACCTTTCAGATGATGTATAAATCTCAATTTCGAAAAATTGACCCTTATGACTGGTTTTGTATTCCAGGGTCACATAGATTATAAAATCACAAAAGTATTTTGAGCATGTTACCATGGTATTCTTAGAAATACAATAAAGTACCATAATACATAAATTTCAGCACCATGCCAGTATATTTCAAACTACCATAGTATTATCATCTAATACCATCACTGTACCATGGTACCACCACAGTACTTTTTTGTAAAGGGTTCCAAAACTATGGTATTACCATTATGTCTTGTCTAAAAATTTTTAAAAAAAATAGGGTGATACCATTGTATGTTTTATACCCTGCTATTCAGGCATCAGTTTTTAACTTGGCAAAATCTTTTTCCAGGTCTATAAATGTGACAAAGTCTGTACTGGCCCCTCTCTGTCAATCATTCATCTCTCCAGAACAACAAATCTGTGCCCTTCTTTTATTCACATGTCTTCTTCTGAAATGCATTACAGAGTGGCACTCATGGTAAGCTTTGCATCCAAGGCTGGGCATTTTATAAAATAACTCCCAGGTTAGAAATCACCTGTAGGATGGGTAGAGGGAGGAATCTATAAAAAAAGATCAAGAGAGGCTGGCTTTCTACTGATGCCTGTTATTTGACAATATAACAAACCCAATGAATGGGTTTGTTTACATGGGTTTTAAAAGGTGACTGGAAAATTGGTTTGTTTTGCTTTAATCCCTTTTAATAAACCAGCAAAACACCAGCCACGCAAGTGACCATTTAAATTTTTTTCGCTAATCTGATGCAACGTCCCCTTAGACCTCAATGAGCTAACAGCAGTTCAAAGAGGTCGCCGTTAAAGTGCAGACAGGCAGACGAGAACAACGATGAGAATGGGGTTGAGCTGTCTCACAATTACGCTGACAGCATCACCTATTCAACGCGCTCACAAGAGGTACCCACTTAAACTCACTTGTTATCTACTGTAATTATAACAGTCATATTTGGGGGGTTTACTGAATAATTAGAGTTGTCAACGCTCACGTCAAACTCCTTTCAGACTCACACAGAGCCGGCGAGGTCTGATGAGATGTAATTAACACTGCACACTAACATCTGCGACATGAGCTCAGCGTGCTCCACTTGTCCCTCTCGACCCTCTTTGTCATCATGTGATGCCCCAGACCACCACGGACTGAGGCGGTCTTGCTCTGTGTGATTGGAAGACTGCTGTGGAGCTGCACTGAACTGGCAATGTGACATGCAATCTGTCACATGTACCTAAAATACGATCCTCTGCTCTATGAATGGTATGACAGCAGGCTTATTTGCATCATGATTTTTAAGTATATACAGGTATTAATCTTTACTAGGTAATTAGGTAATAATCTTTACTGACATATAACATTACATATGTATTTACAAAGCAATTGCAGATGTGTGTGATGAGGAAAACACAAAATAAAAAGGTGTTAAATGACTATAATAATAAATATCCTTTAAACAACCGGTCAACCGGTTGATTCTTAAATGAAGAAAATTCTGTTGCTGCAACAGCCAGATCATTCTGAATACAAAAAATAAATGTGATGTCCGGTGTGGTATGAAGATCCTCTGAGCCAAATTTGGAGAGAATTGGACAACATTTGTGGAAGGAGAACAGTTTATCAAAATCCAATTTGGCATGGAGACACCATCATACTCTGCAAGCCAGAGGGAATCTGTACTGTACAGAAGCATGATTTTAGGCCAATTTATAACAATGTAACAACCCCCAAACAACTCATTTGTGTCCATATGACAAAGTGTTATGAAGACACATCTTTGTTTGCTGTTGATTCTTGACTTTGAAAAGTTTCAGTAACTTTGTTTTGTGCATGGTCCGAAGATCACCTCTAGCCAAATGTAGCAAAGATATACACAAATTAGGAGGAACAGCAAAAACGTCATTATGTAAATGTCCGACAAGTTAGGCTGAGACTCTAAAATGGGATATCAGTGGACTTAGCATAACCTAAAGAAAGAGAAGAGGCCAAAAAAAAAAAAGTCACTTTAGGCCAAATTATTATCAATGCATCACGTTTCAATTTCTTTGCTCTGGTACCCTTTGGGCATGTAAGGGAAACAGGTCAATTTAGCTCAAAGGGAATCATTTAAGTTGGTTAGGCTTGCTTCAGACTGGCTAGTGCTAGGGTCTGATTTATGAACATCCTGTTGTCTTGGGCCTCTGTGGAATTCGGCTCCTCATGTTTCAACCATGTTTTGACCAAATCTTAGATTGTCTGATTCGGTCTGATATCCTACAGGCATGATGCCAATGACGCCTACCAAGCTTTGTTTCAATACACCAAAGTCTTGGTAAGACACAGCAATATACATTAAAATTCACAATGGCAGACAGGGAAAATGGCTGCCCTTTAAAAAATGGTATCACTGGGCTCAGGGAATCTAAAGACACTAAAATGTAAGTTTATTAATCAGATTGTATGATTTATGATCATTACACATTAATGAAAATGACTTCAATATGCTTTGTAAGCTTGGTCTGAACATCTGAGATCAATTTGGTCAGAAGATTTGTAGGCAGAGTATGGGTGATACTGGAAACACAATCTTCAATCAGCTATGAATGCAGGAAGAAGGAGGACTTTTTCTCTAGTCTAGACCAAAGGGTTTTAAAGAGAAAATAAGTAAATTTTTGAGCTGATAGGGGTGCTTAAGTGTTTGACTGGGAGACCACCAGATGACCATTCAGACCGCTTCCAATATACTTCGCTTCTTGGACCCTAATAATAGTTCATTTAAACTAAGATCAGAGAGACAGACAAGAAGATCAATTGGTCTTCGCAGAAATTTACTAAAAAGCCTGTGAGGAAACGTTTTACCTCCACCTGTGACATAAATGATGCTTGATGTGGCTGCAATAAAACTTAATGACCGCTCAATAATTCATGCAGTGCTTGAAAACGTAAGGGTTTCTGGAGAAAAATATCTCGAAGGATACACTTTATGTGTCTGGGAAGGGTAGAGAGGTGGAGAGCTGTGATTCAAACAAAGTACTTATCAAGGACAAAGCTTATGAACACTTGTCCACAATATGTAGGAGAGAGAGAGAAATAGAGAGAGAACAGATGCAGCACTTGGTTGTACTCTACTAGTCACTGAAGTCAAATGGCTCTTGTTTGTAAATGATCTGGCGTTGCTGTCACAAAAGAGGCGGTACAGCTCCTAGCATATGCCATTTTAGTTAATCTTAAAAAAAATAAAAAAATAATGTATATATATATATATATATATATATATGTATCCAATTATAGAATCACCCATATATATATATATTATTTACGAAAAAAATATATAAAAATTGTAAAATAATTCCAATAAATGGAATTTCAAGAGCAGAATTAGTATTATTAAAAATAGCGATAAATAGAATATAAACGCTGAACATATCGATAAATAGAATATAAAACCCGTAAGAGTTACATTAATCTGAGATTGAGAGAGACATCCAGAGAGATTGGGAGCATTCAGGTAACGACTGGAATGAAGAGGCGTGTCTACAGTGCGGGGGCGGGGCTACACGCTCCCATCTGAAAAGGCACTATTATAGAGACTTAAAGGGACTCACAGGTGTATAGTAATACGTGAGTCACACAGCGCAGCCGTTCGCAGAGAAGCGATTAAATGTTTGCTATTAAGTCAGCGTGAGAAAAAGGAGCGTTTTTGCGCGGTTAGGGTCAC